TATTATGAAATTAATCATCAAAAGTTTATAAAGACTGTATCCTGACGAGGATATATGTACTCACGAGCCGAGCCCATACACACAGGTGCCCACGAGTGACTTCCTGGGCTGCCATCTAGCGGTCGGTAGGCCAGGAGAGTGCTGCTCCCCATCTTTTATTCTGTGTTTCAAGAGAATGACTGGAAAATGCCTAATTCTGAGGACTGGTTAAGCACTGTTTCTCTTATGAGTAAAACATTAACCACCATAGACTTCAGTATGATAATTCTCATTGCAAAAGTATTTTCCAGTGCTCAAAAGTCTCCACAATTACTAGAACAATATAATTAGCTGTGATGAAAGTTCTTACGACAGTTGCGCCTTCCACAGTAATGGTGTATCGAGGCTTGCAGACAACGTGAAGCCATCCAGATTTGTTCCACAGATGAACTGTTTAGAGGCTTCTTCTTTATACAGCACTCACTGGCTCAGACTACCACTTCTGAAGCCCTCATTTGTTCATGTGTCTCTGTCAAATGCTTAAAATACTTACCAATTACCTAACTCAGATCAAATCATGGTGGTTTCAAACATACTGTCACCTAGAACTGCATGAACCAGTTCATGCATTACACTCCACACACCAGCAGCTTTCTCTCACAGAAGATACAGCATTAGTCCTTATCTCATACACTTTATAAAGCAATCAGCATTTTCAATGGTTTCTTACCTAGTTGTGATGCATCTTACTTTTGCTTCCAAAATGATGCTCCCAGAAATTCTTAGACAACGTAAGACTTAATACTGAGATTACATGGGGAGAGCTTTAGGAAATATATATAACTCTACTTCTGCTCATATTAAAATGAGTGATGACAACAAAAAGAAAGGCAGGAGACAGTGAAGAAATAACAAAATGCAGATACTTGACTGTGACTGGTTAGGTATGGCTAAGGCAATGATGGACAAAACCAAAATGACCTTTTAACAAAGTTAATATTTACCCAGTTAAGTAGCTGGCAGTATGAGAGATTCATCTCTTTGGGATGCAGAAGTTTCCCCTTATTTTGGGAGAGAATACAGGCTATCAAGAGTTTAGTTGATTTTTTGGAGATTCACTTCCTGCAACTTGTTTCAGCTAGCAAGTAGTGTGACACATACTCCAAGATGTTCTATGGTATTTGAGAAACTGGAAGTTGGAAAAAACTTTTTTAAATATTAAAGCGTTCCAAAAATACCTTTCATAATTAAAATAGTTCTGATTTTTTATATTTGAAATAGATAATAGCTAATAAGCAGATTTGAATTGGTAAGCAGACAAGTCAATGATATAAAATCTAACCCTTGCTTACACTCATGAAGCAGTTTAAGCTGCTTGAAACTTATGTAAATCCATAATTCACTGAAGTGACAGCAAATTTGGCCTTCAACATGCAATGAGGAGACCATCAAATTTAAGTAATTCACTAAAACAAATTTCAAAGAGAAAATCATTTCAGAACTGTGAGGTTTTAAAGTTTTTATATAAGAATGCTAAAAAATACATAGAACTGCAACTACGCAGCTTCTATTTAAGATTTATGTTTTTTCGTGATTTGACTGAGAAACAGAGCTTTGTTCCTCCACTGCAAGACCACTATTCCTAGCATTTCACCATACGTTGTTTGCATCCCTTAATACGTGATCCTTGTGCTGCTCATGCTTGCAGATTCCATGTCGTTAACGAGTAATATGAGATCAGGCGGTAGGTACACTACACCACAAAACTAAACAGTGCAGCTTAGTGCAGGCTGCCCGCACCATTCGAAGCCAGGTGTTTGCCTCAATACCTTAGAGAGATGCTTCAGCACTACAAAGCCTGCTCCTAGGTTCACAACGGCAGGTACCTTCGCTGAGGCAGAGGAAATGGGGTTGCTATTTTCAACAGATAGTCAGCAAAAATGAAGTGGCACAGGTTAGAAGAAAAAAAAAAGATAAGGTTTTGTTGCAGGGCTGTCAAAGAACTCATTTCTCTATGGTGAGGGATGAATTAGTGGATTTCACAGCAAGTACCCGCAACTTCATTGCTGCTTAACATATTAGCAAGGTCATTTTCTGTTCCTACAATACATAAAAAGACATTGACTTGCATCAACAGCTGAACTGGAATCTGAAGGACTCCGTAAAATTTGCAGACAGCAAAAGCATTTTGTGATGAATGTTTTAAGAACTAGACCAATATCAGCGCATTTTTTATATAGAAACCATTTTCTCCACCATTACTTACCTGAAATCTGGTCACTGCAAGGAGTTTGCTTCTGCAATACATTCCCACATTTTGTACTCTTGGAATTGCAGATGCTTGATACAGTCTTTACCTTTATTATCACATTCCCCTTACATTTATTATCAATAAAGGTAACCATTATCATGTTAGACTTAGGAAGTGTTCTGTAGCTAGCAATCATCCTTTAGAGATCAATTATAATCCCAGTTTAAGACTCCAAATCAGTTCCTAGGAGAGACAGTGTACAAACAGACATGGCTAATGGGGCCAGGAAATAAAGGACCTAGGCAGAAAAAAAGAACAAAGAAAACCCAAACAAACAAAAAAACCCCCCAAAAACAGTTCCCTCCCAGCCCGTACCGTGGTCCCCCCTGTGCCAACAGCCACGGGGGGTTTAATCCAGGGACTGGAATAGCGACTGTCATGAAGCCGGAGCAGGGATGTCGGAGAACAGGCATGATCTCTATGAAGCGGCCTCTCCAACAGGCCTTTCGTAAGTGATTCTGTAAGGCCACATAATTTTGATTTCAAATTGGTGCTTACCAACAACATTAAGAGTTACTGCGAGAACTGGAACAGTGCATGGCAGAATGATTCAATGACCCTGCCTGGGAAAGGGCACAACCTCTTCAAGGTGAGCTAAGTTGAAAGCTTTATTAGACATTAAAACAGTATTTCTAAACAAGCTGAATAAACTAAGCCTTTTTATTTAATCTGAGGCCATTTAATGGCTATTTTTAGTATAACTTACTAAGGCTTAGCTTAACTTTGTACTTTGAAACATTAATAAATTAACTCTCCCTCTGCATTTTTTCAACAGCAAAATTCATTTCAGAGCGACACAGTACTATCACTCTCAGTAACGTCAAGGCCACAACCAAGCACACCCATCTCTTCTGAACTGTCCACAAATGATGCTCATCGCTGCAAAACTGCCATGAAGTAGAAATGTATTCAGTTATAAGGAAGTGCAAGAAAGCAATACCCTAAATTTCAACATCTGTACTGAAAAGCGTTGGTTTGTGTGGTTGTTCCGGATTTGGTTTGGGTTTGGGTTTTGTCAAAAGAAGCAGGTACTGGCTTGTGCAATAATAAGGACAGGCATTTGATATTGTTGTTTTATTTCTTTTTAAAAATTCGACAATTCTCAATGTATTATTCCAGCAACATGCTACTAAGCACTCTATACATTCCTTTCTTCAGAATAATTCTAACTAGATCTTGGCAGGGATAAACCAAGTAAGAATTACTGACTTTAATAGTACCAATCAGAATGAAACCAGTTGAGAACTCCCCTGAATCTGATGTTATATTTGTGTGAAATAGGACTACTCATATTTAATACTGTGTTGTCTTAAATACCTTTTGAAATATAAATATTTAGTTTCTCTATTGGAAACAGTTGTGTGTTTATTTTTTTCATCTTATTCAGAATAATAAGATAAAAATTTCCATGGGCATGAAAGGGAGTTTGAACTAGGGTTTTGTAAGGCAGGCTTTAAAATAGTGCCTGAACCAGTTCTTCCACAGAGTTCTTGATTAAAATCTACATACCTTCAATAACTATTTTCAGCAGTGTAAATTATGTGTCCTCGAAAAAGTTTTAATGAAAACCATTTTAATTAAAACTAGTTTGACAGCCCGAATATGCAAAGTCAAACCACAGGATACTAAAGTGCTTTTTGAGATTTGTCTGTGTATCTACAAACAAAAATTCCCTTGAACAGCCTATGGAGCAGAAACAATTGTGGTAGCAATTAAAAGATTTTCTGTTGTCAGACTCAAGGTAACTAGTTAAATTATTCCGTCATTTTTAATTCTAGCAAAAACAATCTCTTACAGGCATGTACGGTTTTGTATGTTATTTCCTCAATTGTTTAGAAGCACACTCTTATATTCTCTATTTTACAGTGTTGTGCTTTTATGTTTATTCATCTGTACCAGTTTTTAGCTGAAAATTACTGTTCAATTTGTACAAATCACCCATGATTTAAACTGTATAATTACATTTCATGTAATCTCACAATTTCATTGGGTAATTAAAAGATTTTCTACAGCTTTTTTATCAAAAAAAGCAATATACAATTAATTAATCCCTGTAGGATTCTTCCCCCCTCACAAGCATTGACATTACGTATTTAAACACATCGGACCAAATCCCTGGGCGTGTCTGATGAGTTGTGCAGAATCAGACCCGCATGCAAAATGGCTCAAAGCTCACCTTTCACAAAGGGCTGGATCCTATTGTGGGGCTACGGCCTTGTCACAGAGAGAGGGGGGGGAGGAAATAAGTGTGAATGTCTAAATTACATCAGCTGTGCAGATACAGCAGACCTTCGTGCAGGAAGAAAGCCCCGGAGTATGCCCTCTTACTTGAGTTCTCCAGCATTTACTGCGGTATTTTAGTAGTGCATATGGAAAGGCTATATAGAACTCTATAGCACCAGAGGATTATTCTTAAAATCCTCTCTGGGGAAATTACAATGAATTTAGGGCCAGCTTAGGGCTGGTATTTTAATTTTCAGTAGCTATACTATTCTAGAGGATCTAGCCTCTATCATCATAGTGCAAACGTAACCTCCTGTATGGATACCTTCTGGTAATAATAAAACAACATAACCTTAATGAACAGAGGTACAGTTTGTTAACGAGGCATGGTACGTTTTACTCAGTTATGCACCTAGGCACCTTCTTTCATTGCCAAGCCATCCACTTTTCAGAAAGCATTTTAAAAATAACATCTCCTTTGATAAAAGTAGATGATACGATTTTTTTTTCTTCAGTAAATTAAGAAAGTACAGTATAAATTGATTTTTCCAAAGTCGTTTCTGTTTCAAATGGGCTGAAAAAAGTTACAATGTTTAATGATACTTTTTGAATGGTAACTAGTTCACAAACATTTTGTACGGAATGAGAAAACTTCTGTCTGTGACAAAAAAAATAACCATGACTTCCAGCGATTTACAAGCAGTATTTTAGATGCCCCCATCACCTGAAGTTCTGTTGATGATGCCCTGCACCAACAGAACACTGTCCTACTGATGATCAACATTCATCTTCTTTATACGATGAAGCAGGGCATCTTTTTCCATTTGGACCTCAGCAAGAGCCATTTTGGCTTTGGCTAGTTCCTGTTTGAGACATTCATTTTCTTCAATAAGCTGAAACAATCGGGTTAGAAAAAAGCATGATTAGTACTCCTGCAGACTGACAACTTTTTCCATTACAGTAACTTTTAAAACACCATGTGCTCACATGCATGGCCAAGTGCAGGTTTGTTGGGGCTGAGTCAATTGCGACCGATTCCCAGTCAGTGAGTGCAGAACATGGAGAGGGCTGGTGCAGTTAACTCAAAAGGCAGGATACCCAATGTTTTAGCTACACCATTTCCACTCTGAAGTGGAGTGGAAATGACACCAGGTTCTTAGCCCTAGGAATGGACTCCTACCCAGTGGAAAAAACAGCCAAATTGATGTATGGGTTCTGTCATCAACAACTCAAAAATCAAGGTATGATTGACAGATTAGTAAGGGTCTGACTTAACAGCCTAGTCCTTTGTCAGTTGTGATGTACAGGGATGAGGGAGATGGGGAAGAGAAGGGACTTGCTCCGTCATAAAACTCCCTCTGATGTATAGGAGAAGAATTAGACTGCAGTGTATTATTATCCTATTTAGGCAGTAGTATTAAATTTATTTTGCATGCCTAAGTACTGAACCATACTATAATATCCATAATTCATATTTTCCATCTCAAACAGATTTCTAAATAGAACTAACCCACAAGCCCATCCCCAGATAATCTAACAATTATGATGATTAATTACTGTAACATAATTTTGAGGCAGGGGGGAAGGTCAAAAGAATTCTTAATACCTCATTTTTAAGGAAGTCAGCTGAATCCCTGCTTGATTTAGAAGGTCCAGGAATTTCACAAGTCGTCTGCGTGGCTTGGTCCTGTGTTTTATAGCCAACACGTCCAGTTGCTTGCTGCAATGCACTACTTGAACTCTTCATCTTTGACATATCATTTACTCTTTGATTGTCTACATCACAGAAAGATACTTAAGAGTAGTGCTTAGGATTTTGCATCTTTTTTTTTTTTAAAGTTTGTTTCTCTTCAGCACAAAATTAAACACATCTAAACAAATATACTTGTAATATTAAGTACATTTATATTTACCTCCCAAAATCAAACTTTAGAACAAAAAAAAATAATTAAAGGTCATATGCCCTTTTGGAGGAAGACAGAAAGGAAAGAAGGCATGAGAAGAAGCAATATGTAGCTTCCAGCTTGAAGAAAATTCTCACATTTTAATACCGACCAATATCATCACCACAGAATATGCATTCTGAATAATTAGAAGTTTGAGACTATTAATATTGCTATTAATATACTGTCTCCAGGTACAAATGAGATCCAAGGACTGAATTTACATTTGAAGACACAGTGAGATAAACCTGCAGGATCAAGTTTTTAAATTAGAAAAAACTTAAATGACTTGGCATTAAAGAAACTTTCTAGCATTTATAACTGAAATGCACTGCAACATTTGTTAAAATATACTGTTGTACGCCAAGGGAAAAAATGAGGGTCATGGTCCTTAGTAGTCTAAAAAATACTCTGGGTCAGTTTTTTTTCTTTTTTAAACATTTCCTTCTAAACAAGAGTTTTCTGTTCATTAACCCCTCCTCCCACCACACACACACACACACACACACGAGGACTCAAAAATGTAGCACTGCAGATACATAAATCACTGCAGTTGCAGACAGCATCTGACCCATGCCTTTGAAGTCACTGTACCTGAGCAGTCCACGACAAGAATAGAGATCAAATCACTTCAGCAAAAAGGGAAGAAAAAAATGAGCTGAAAGAAATCTGAAAACTATGTATTTTCTCACTAAATTACTGTTTCTTCCAATGTTTAGTATAAAAAGATGCCCAAAATGCATTGAACATATTTAAACACTTAAACAATGTACTAGATAATGTGGAGCAACTAAAATACAAGCAAATCATGCCACAGCATACCTCTGAGAAGTCTGGTCCATCTTTGCTCTACCTTCCCATCAGGTAGGTGAAGAGGTCATTAAGATCACCCTGCAGCCTCCTCTTCATCAAGTCCTACAGTACGTTGCATATTGTTGGATCAATATATTCAGAACCTGGATGAAAGGGTGGGTGCGCCCCCTGCAATTTTGTGAACACCAAACTGAAGGGTAAGTGACTGACACACTGAGGGGCAAGGCTGTTGTTCAGAGGAACCTGGATAAGCTGGAGAAATGGGCTGACTGGAGCCTTGTGAAGTGCATCTGAAGCCAGTGTGAAGTCCTGCAGCTGGGAGTGAGTAACCTCTTGCTCCACTACAGGCTGGGGACCAACTGGACAGAAAGCAACATTCCAAGAAATGACCTGTATGTAGGCCTTGGTCAATGAGAAGATTTACCATGTGTCAGCAGTGACCTCTGACATCAAAGACCAGACACATACAGGCTGTACTAGCATGGGTACAGCTAGCAAGATGAGGGAAGTTATTATTCCCCTATACTCAGCACCACTGAGACTACATCTGGGATACTGAATCCAGTTTTGGACTCCCTAGTGTGAAAAAGACACTGACAGTAAGATGATCACCAAGATAATCATGGCCAGGAGCACATGAAGTACAAACGAGGGGCTCAGAGAGATGCATTTGTCAAATCTGAAGATGAGAAGGTTATGGGGTGATCTTAATGCTGCCTTTGCCTACCTAGTGGAAGAGTATAGAGAAGATGGACCAGACTTCCCCGAGGTGCTTGCAAATTGCTCAATCACCTCCGTCTTAAGGTGGCAGGACAGGAGGCAACAGACACATGCTGCAACAAAGGAAATTCCAACCGCATGTTACCAAAAAATTAACCATAAGGGTGCTCAAACCCTGGGACAGATTATTTAGGGCGGGTTGTGGTATCGCCTTTTTGATGCTCAAAACTTGACTGGAAAGGGCATTGAGCAACTTTATCTAATCTGCCCCTGCTTTGAGCAAGCAATAGGACCAGATGACCTCTAGAGGCTTCTTCTAACCTAGAGTACTCTATGATTCTTTGACAGATCTGGGAAAGATAACAGTAAAGTTGCAACTCTAAATGTATTGCCTTGTCACAAGTATTTAGTACTTGCCCGTACATGTAGAAAAAAATTTTAAGTGTACACGTTTCATGAAAAGTAGGAAGACAAATCACTGTTGGAAATACAAAACTCAGTGCAATCCCAGCCGTGAGCTGCCAGGAAACCATGGTAACATATAGAATTGAAAACTGCTACTCGTACTTCTCAAATAGTCTTTTGTTTTACAATATTCTCTATTACTACCCATAACACAAAACCCCAAAGACAACAGGTAACGAACCACCTTAGTAATCTGTAAGGAAAGGCAATTTTTTTTTGTTTCATTTGTAGTCAATCAAAGGAACCTTACACTTATCATGACAAAGTGATATGCACTGATGAAGCATATCCTGATGAAATTATATGCATGTTTTTATTTCTCTCAGATTGATTCAGCTGTGGGTTGTTATCATAGCCAATACACTATCCAAAAAGGTAATTTTCCTCTACGTGACTACACTTAGAATTAAGGTATATGGCAACACAACTTACACAAATTATCATTAGTTATCTTTTCGTTATTAGTCACATGTTTGCACAAAGGAAAAAAACCCAGTATTAACAATAATTAGATTATAATATTGAGATATCAAAGTGCAGAAACATACAAACCTCTAATGAGAAAAGAGCCATCATCATTTCTTTCTATCCAGAGTATGTCAATATGCAGTTTTATGGGTACCACCTCAGATGCCTTGAGATTTTCACGTGGACTGTCATCCTAAAAAATACAAGTATTAAAAATGAGTTTACCAGGAAATCAAAATAGCTAATTAAGATGTTCAATTAAACATAAGTGGATTTAATGAAACTTGAAAGGGAATATTTCAGAGTGGAATTTTCTAATAGGATCTCCACTAAACTTTTGCTCCATTTTTATTTTCCCTGGGGATCATATTAAAGGCCCAAATTTATCTCTGGAGTAAGTCTGCTGAACTCAATATAGACAGTCTGACTAAAATACTTCAAAGAACTTTTATAGACATGTCAATAAGATTATATCCCAACTCAAGACATTCTTTAGCTCAGGAGCTCTCAGAGTCAGTGATAAGAAGCCTGCACTATATATTATCTGATTTTCCCTTGAACTATTCAAAGATTGAATGGGTACAGCTATCATTCTTGAGCAGATTTTGCCTTTTTAGAATTTAGTTTGAGATGACACCAGCTGCAGTTCAGTTGTATTACTGTACCCAACAGATGAGAAACTTCACAAATTACTTCTTTTGGGGTCTCCCCAGGAAGTCTTTATAGTTCATTATCCCTGTCAAGCAGAATAACACAGCCAGTATTATCAGAAACTATACATACCAGCACTAAGCACATAGCAAGAAGGCTGTTGAAATATAACTGCCAAAGTTTCAAGAAACAGTACTGAGACTGCAGTAGAAAATGCAAAAAATAAAATAACTTTTCTTAAATTCTTCGTCCCCATGAAACACACTGCATCATCTCATGCAGAAGAAACAGAATATACTGCATTGAACAGGCAATGCAGCATAAATTTGAACATACCATCTCACTCTTTACTACCCAACAACTCTATAGAAATGAATCATCTGTATGTCAAATTTGCAGTTTATCTACCATCATGAGTAACTTCACTGTGACTTGTGTGCACTGCTGAGTGAGCATTTCAGTGCTTTCACTACCAAGCAGGCTCTTATTGCTGATTTATTAATGTATACTCCCCACCTCAAACAGTTGTTTTCTCAATAACATTTTGCTTAAATCTGCCTTCTTGCCAATAAACCAGCACAATGCTGTTTTATATTTAAGTGACTACATGTTAACACTTTCCTTTTTGCATTTGGGCATTCACATTTGTGATACATTGAAAACTGAGGAAGAGATCCACAGCTCTTACAGAAAGTGCTTGTGCTACTCCTGTAGTAGAAATGCCGAAGGATCCTCAGGGGATGGAAAAGCTGCATCAAGGAGGGAGGGAATACTGATGCACTTTGAGCAGAACACTATAGAGGTAACAATTGCCCTTCCAGTCAAGCATGATCTTAGCAGAATAAAGGCCTTAGCCCCAGATGCAGAACTGGAGCTGCTATTCCAGTCCTCACTTTGAACAAAGTTTATATGGGCAAATATTAATTTCCAAAGTAATGTTACGATTATCTTATCTTTACATTGGTTTGGGGTTTTTTTTGTCAGTTCCCCTCCTCCCCCAAAGGAAAAAAGCGTCCTTATCTTTATAGTCAATGGTTGTTCAGCACAGAACTCACCACCTCCTTTAAATGTCTGAAAGAAAATCCCCCAGGAGACTTAAGCAGGAGTGTCCTCTTAATGTTACTATTTTAAGCTATGGTGGCAAGAAAAGCTAGCATTATTTAATATGAGTTTCTAGGTAGGGCAGAGCATGAAATCTGGGTTCTCATAAACACTATTCAAGTGGTTTGAACTGGAATTCCCATAACCTTTTTCCTTCTTTTCTACTGAACTTGCATTGCAAGAACTGTCCTCTAAGTAGGAGAGAGAATTAACCTCTAAAATCTGTGTTTTGTAATTAGAAAACCATTACTATGCTAAGGAAAAAAAGACCAACTAGAAAAACCCATATTGTCCCTCTAGGAGCTTGGCGTATCTTACCTAAAAAACTCCCAGACACTGTCACTCTACAAAAGAGACTGGGAGCAGAGGAAAAAAGTGCAAAATATTAACTTGTATAAATAGCTTGGTCATGCAGAGAATTCCCCTCTAGGCATACCACAGAGCTAACCAAATCTATGGATTTTTAAATGGTTTTAGTGTTATCTAATGACCTTCCAGAGTATGATAGCAGTTTCTTTGAAGTTAACTGTATCCAGATTAGTAGTTTATCATCAAAGAAAGAACACCACAATTTCTTTAAAGTAGCCAAATAGCTCATTGTTAACATACTTTTAAATTAATCCTCGCATTACAAAGTTTTATCTTCATAGGCATCACTTCCGCAACAGTTTCATCTTCTAGAAAATGCTGAATGTTTGTGAGGGAAGACGTTAGAAATTCAGCACTGAAGTTCTCTATGTGACACTGAAGAAAACCATTTTTTACAGCCAGCAGAGAATGTATGACAGCACTAGGCCCACTTTCCCATCTCAAACTAATCTCAGGTGACGAATTAGCTGGTCCAGCTGCAGATTTACAGTCAGAACCTGTTGCAAGAGGAAAGCAAATTTGCGTTAAAGTTTTGCAATGTATAAAAAAGCAATTATGATGCAATTACTTCTACCTCTATTGTCCAACTGATTTTCCAGAAGTACTTTACAAGTATTATCCATGAATTACGGCAGTGCAAATACAGAATTTCAGATCAAATCTCTAACTATTATCACTTCAAAGTACTAAAAAGAAATAAACAGTACATACAAGGACTAGTACCTCACTGTGACAACAGACAAGGACAATACAGAAGTATCACCGTGCACAAAAAATTTTGTTTCCTCAACATCTTGATGATGGAAAACCGATTATTTTGCATACTTTTCCACTAACTCCTTCAATTTTAATTCAGAAAAACATTTAAGTCACTTCATGCTCTCAGGAAAGCAGGTATTCTCTTGGAAAGGCAGAATTTCCCAACTCAGGAACTTACTTGCTAACACACAGGAACATAAACAGCAATGCAGTAAGATGGAGAACATCACCACATGGTGCTTCCATTACTTGGGTGGAAGCAGATTTGAACCTTAAAACCCCCCTAGCAGTTTCCTGTTTCAGTATCTTTAACCAGTAAGGATAACTGCAACATTCAACTGAACAGTTCTAAAAATAAAATAAAATTAAATATTTAAGGTAACCAGATATTGGGGAGGGGGGGGAGAAGAGGGGGTGGAGAAGGCCAGTATCCATTTACTGTACAAAAAAAAGAGTGTTCACCACCAGAAATAATTACCCCATGGGATTCTCAAGTCATTTGGTCACTATGATGGTTGACCTACAGACATTATCTGTATGACAAAAAGCACATTCACAGTAATTCTATTAAGAAGCAAACACTGAAGCTTGAAAGAGAGTTGAAATCAAAGTAACTCACGTAAAATCCACTGAATTATGTCCATTTATATTAGTAGAGCATTAACTGTTAAACAAATTTGAGAGAATTGAATTTCCCTCAGAAAAGTCCAATATTTACAAGCTTAGAAACTGGAAAAAAGAAGTGGATAAAGTTTAAATTTAAAGATGAAGTAAGACTTCCTTTCTCTATTTTTATTTCTTTAGTATTATTCTTACTCCTGTCCCCATATTAGTGACATGCAGTTTATTGTAGTCTCCCCTTCTTGATTTCTGCTTGTGCATATATGAGCAATTACCAGAAAGCTAAAGAGAAGGCATACCGGAAATCTACTAACAACCTTCCAATGCCTATGATGAGGCAATGAAGACAGAGCCAGGCTCTTCACAATGGTGCTTGTCCGAAGGTTGAGAGACAACAGCTCAAATTGCAACAAGAGAGGTTCAAACTGAATGTAAGGAATGAGGAAAATTAAGCAGTGGTGCAGGTTTCCTGGAGAGGTTGTGCGATCTCTGCCCTTGGAGGTCTTTTCTTAGACCTGATGGGATAAAGCTCTGAACAACCTGGCCTGATCTGAGGGCTGACCCTGCTTTGTGAACGGGATTGGACTAGAGACACCTTGGCATCACCTCCACTGCTCCACCCTCAATTATCCCGTGATCCTATGAAGTGTAGGTTTCCTCTGTGGTGGCTTCTTTGCTGTGTACCAGCTAATGTTAAGTAATAACGCATACTGTAACGAATGCAGCGTACTTTACCCCTCCATTTCAGAGACAACCTACTCTGAATAATCTGACATGTACTGCGAAAAAAAACCACAGTATGCTGGTGAGCTGCAAGTTACATTGCTTCTCTTCAGTAAAGCTTATCCTGGATATCTTTATATAAAGGAAAACCACAGAATTAGTGTTCCTTCTGAAACTACACATCTGGTTTACAAGGCACTTGGTTAAAAGTCCAAGGCATCACTGCTGATCACACCACATTTGCGAGACACAAGCTTTTTGATATATCAAGTCTCTATAGATACACTCAGGTATCCTGTTAAAGACAAGACATTTGCAGCATTTGAACATATTTTTAAAAGGTATCATTAGTATATTGACAATTGCTACTGCAAAGCTATAACAACTGTTCACAGTTTTAGTATTTAAGGATTCAGGCTCTTGATACGCTAAACCAGATGAGGCACAGGTCAAAACTGTAGAAACCAGATGACAATTCACTAAGTCACACGGACACTGTGCTGGGTCAGATTCATTCAGAAACTTAGGATGTTAGCTCTGAATGAATAAAAGTTATGCAGATTAGGCAACGTGTTCACGCTGCAATTACAGCGGCCTCCCATTGGTATCTCATAGATCTTTGCAACAATCCCTTTTGCATCCTCCCCAAGTCTTGTCCCCAAGATCAGCATCTCTAGATCCATAAAGCCTTTTCAAGGTAGGATCATAAAGCGTAAGCTTTCTTTATGAACAGATACAGATGTTCTGCTGTTGCAAAGTTGCAGAAGTACTCAGCCTGGTCACTGGCCAGAGACAAACCCAGAGTCAAGCCCAAGCAATGACCAGTTACCAGTCACAGCAAGTTCTCCACTGGACCTCGGAGGAATTCCTCTTTGCTCTTGGGAAGTAGTAGTAGGGGAATGTTACCTGTTCAGTTCCTTTTAAGTAATACGTGATGTATTATTTTCCAAAACTACAGACCAGATTGCTCTGAGATGCCTCTGGAACCTTCTGCAGTGGTTTATAAAGGGCCTAATGAGAACTTACATGAAGACAAAGGACACTGGGGCAAAACCGGCTTTGGACCAGGTTCCTAACAAGTGGAGAAGTGGACTACGTCCCTAGTGGGGACACTGATACAGCGCCTAGAAAAGTTAAACACCTACTGTGTTCCTGGACAATGTGCTTCCTCTGAGAGGCAGCCAAACTAAGGAAAAACAGATGCATGCAATGCTTACAGATACCAATCATAACTAAACATGCCATCTCTAGGAAAACAGCTCCAGGAGAGTAGTGGGAAGAAGGTTTTCAGCAGTCAGGAGGAACTGTTTCAGTGTCTGGTTTGTATATATCTATTTTAAAAAGAAAAAAAACAAAAGTAGGGTAAGAGGAGGGGTGAGAAGAATAATAATTAACTTCCTATATTCATCCCAGAAAACAGGCAGACTAGTCAACTTTTCTAGACCAAGTGCAATCAGACAGACGTACAGCAAGAGGCAGTAACTTTATTCAAGTAATACTGCCCCAGCCTGAACTTAGTACAGGTCTGAAAACTGTAATTTCAAGTTTCAGTACAGCATGCAACAGACGTCACCTGGAGTTACAGCAGCCTGGCAGAGTAATTAATTTGCTCTCCTATCTATAGATTTATTGGATTCCTCTTTCTGTATGGTGCCCAGTTCTCATGGATGACCTAGCACAGCAGTAGAGTCAGGGCATATGCACGTATCTATTGGCACTAGAGTCAGGGTAGATGAACATATCGTCGTTGACAAAGACCAATGGGAAGAACTGTAAATGAACATGAGCATCTTCAGCTTCTGCTGTGAACCAGAACCTCTCCCTTTGCTGTGAATAGAGGTTTCCACAACACTAACAGCCATGACTCAATCCTTCAACCCTTCCAATGTTTAAGAAGTGCTAGATCTCACATTTCCCCCACCAAAAAAAAAAAAAAAAAAAAAAGCACACTGTAAGTATCAGGTATCTTCTGTGGTTCTAGTCCAGACAGAAGACAATTAGCTAGCAACAGTCCTTGAGAGGAAGGGCAACTCGCCAGATGGGAGAACAATGACCACTCTGTCCAATTAGTCTCTGCAATTGGTTTGGGAAACTTTATTTCCCCCAAGGATCTATTATTCTTCCCACAAATACAGAGAAAGAAACAAGCAGTATGTGCCCTAAGTATTTCTGGACCAGAAACAACTGCCTGCATCATTGCCAGAGAATCCACCAAAGCATAGAAAAGCAACAGAAGAAATGACCACACATTCAGGCTCAGCCATGAAGTCAATCTTGGTTATCTTGCAGACATCTGAAAGGGGCACAGTCAAGAGAGGATGGAGTAAAAATTGCATTAAACAATTCAGAAGCTGCTATGAACTGCTGATCCCTTCTCCAAGCATGACAAGGTCTCAGTAAAAGCACGGTCCCTCCCAGAGTACCTCTGCCGTACTCTCTTCCCCCTTCTATCGTTATTGCTGCCAGACAAGCTCTGATAAAGGCATCGCGCTGCAGCCAGCCCTGCAGGGAAATGCACAGCTGCCACTTTGCCCTCAAACTTATTCCAGCTATTAGGAATGCTTTTCCCCTTCTACACCTACTGCTTTAACAGTATAGTGAGTTTTAAATGGTTATTTTTACCCAGAACACCTTCACAGACTGTAATTATGACTTCATTATTCATTGCTTTGCATGGTTCCTCAGTTTACTGGTTATAATTGTTAATTCAGCACTTGAGTAAGTTTTATTAAAGGTCTTGGGGCATTGCTTTTATTCGGATATTTTCTTATGCTTTTGCTCACTAGTTCCTTTAGTTGTATTTTGTTATGTTAACTCATTTAAGTTGTTGCTTTTTCCTAACCTTGATCCTTTGGATTTTTATTTTTTTTTAAATACTGTTTTCTCCCTTTGTTCTTCTATTGGAATAAATGTGGGAGATGGGGCGCAGCAGCAGAAAATTCCTGACTCAGTACAGAAAGCACAGTCCTGCAGTGCAGACAAGAAAAGATGTATATTACAGAATGGGAGCGACCAGCAATGTATAAAGAAAGTTTTGTTGGCCCATCCATCCAGGTAGCCACCAGAAAGGGAAAAGAAGAGTTATGAAGTGGAAGTATTTGGAGATTCCAATCACATTATAACCTTTTGCCCACAAAATAATCAGCCACTGCACAAGCGTCTCATAATCAGCTGAACCAGAAGAAGTAGGTTCTAGTTTTAGATACACATGAGAGCAGGAAGGTGGCATGTTCCTACTATTTATTCCCTCTTGCTTTTACAGAGGATATGACAGATAACAAGAAATCAGTTTGCCTGCTGTATGAACTGAAGGTCAGCCATGAGTCTTCCCTGCTGGACCTCCTTCTTGCCTTCAGATGCCTGAATACAACTGCAAAATCATGTAACAGTTGCACAGGCAGCAGCTGTTGAGCTTACCAGTACATGGGCTCTTCAGTTAGGGCAGCAGAGGCTGTGCTACCAAGCACAACTTCCTGAAGAAAATCTATGCCGTTGGAAGGCTGGAAATAAATGGCAGCTAACAGCTGCTATAGCTGTTTCCTGGGAAAGGAGATGAACCAGAAGCAGGAAGCAGGTGCATCAGGGATCTGCCCCAAAAACCCTACAGCACAGCAAAGCTGGCATACAGCAATCCACGTGGAAGGCTGGCAGAGGGGAGCAAAGCAAACTGTGACATGAAGTGTCAACGCCAATACATCACGCCAATAAAAAAAAAAAACACCAAACCTCACAGTGTGTGAACTAGGTTTTCTGGCAGAGAATGTATATGTACTCATGCCCAAGAACAGCTCTGACAACACACTGGTTGATCTAGTTGTGCAAGTATCTGGCATGAAACTACACCCTGTGTTCCCATCAAGCTTTAAAAACATACAAAAAGAAACAAAAAAACCCCTGTCCTTGCAACTCGTCTTTCCTGACACAGACTCAATTTTTAACTTTTCTTAAACTACAGGTATAAATCTGTTTAAACTGTGGGTGTTAATTTAATCTAGAGAAATACATCTCAAAGAAAAGAAACAGCCCTTGAAACCAAGGTACATTTAAGCAAAGTACATTTAGAGGAGTAAGAGTTCCATTTTCATAAAACAATAACATACTCTAATGCAACTTCTTTGATTTAAAAAAAAGCAAACTAATAACCAGAATTCAATGCAACACTTTTTTTTTTTTATCTGCACTATCAGAAATGGATCCATTTTTATTTCCTTCCCTTTTAATGTATGGCAACCATGAAAGAAATGAGAGCAGATATTCTAAACCAGCACAAGAAGGATGCTATTAGAATCACAGAATCATTTAGGTTGGAATGGACCTTTAAGATCATCAAGTCCAACCATAAACCTAGCACAACCAAGCCCACCACTAAACCATGTCCCTAAGCACCATACGTATATGCCTTTTACATGCCTCCAGGGATGATGACTCCACCACTTCCGTGGGCAGCCTGTTCCAGTGCTTGATAATCCTTTCAGTGAAGAAATTCTTCCTCATACCCAAGCTAAACCTCCCCTGGCACAACTTGAGGCTGTTTCCTCTTGTCCTATCACTTGTTACTTGGGAGAAGAGACCAACCCCCACCTCACTACAACCTCCTTCAGGTCGTTGTAGAGAGTGATAAAGTTTCCCCCTCAGCCTCCTCTTCTCCAGGCTGAACACCCCCAGCTCCTTCAGCCACCTCCATCAGACTTGTGCTCCAGACCCTTCATCACCTTCACTGTCCTTCTCTGGACTCGCTCCAGCACCTCGAGGTCTTTCTTGTCCTGAGGGGCCCAGAACTGAACACAGCACTCGAGGTGCGGCCTCACCAGTGCACAGTACAGAGGGACGATCACTGCCCTGGTCCTGCTGGCCACACTATTTCTGATACAAGCCAGGATGCTGTTGGCGTTCTTGGCCACCTGGGCACACTGCTGGTTCATGTTCAGCCGGCTGTCAGTCAGCACCCCCAGGTCCTTTTCCACCAGGCAGCTTTCCGGTCACTCATCCCCAAGCCTGTAGCGTTGCATGGGGTTACTGTGAAGCAAGGGCAGGACCCGGCACTTGCTCTTGTTGAACCTCATACAGTTGGTCTCGGCCCATCGATCCAGCCTGTCCAGATCCCTCTGTAGAGCCTTCCTACCCTCCAGCAGATCAACACTCCCACCCAACCTGGTGCAAACTGACTGATGGTGCACTCAATCGCCCTTCTCCAGTTCACTGATATTGTACTAACATAAAGCTGGTTTTGTGCTTTAAGGCTAATAAAGTGTATTTATTTACTTAGAACAAATGTTTCCAGCTCCAATTTCACAACACTGAGATCTCATTGTTAGTTCTTACCAACAGTTCTGTTGCAAAGATAGTGTCGAACGCTGACATTTCCCAACTGATTTGGTATCACTTGGTTGACCTGTAGGCATATTTCTGTGTCATCACCTCTGATGTCAATTTCACCCTTAACACCAAATATTTGGAAAACCACAACAGACATCTGTCAACAAAATCAAGATAAAATAATATAAGATTATAAAATGAATTTACAGTAGTTATTCTTTTTTCAGTTTTAAAGTGTCTTACATGTCTAAACCCTTTTCCTCCACAAAAGGAAAAGAATCTTTGTATCCATAACCCTTGCTCACAGAAAAGCACAAAGTTTTCTCATTTCTTCCTCTTTTCTTTTTGTACCCATTGGCTTGACAACAGGTTGCTCAATTGTCTGTCCAAAGACAGACACTTGTATTTATAACCTACTCATACCAATTCAGATTTGGCCAGAAAAGCCATGAAAGTGGGATAGACTTTCCCCACTCTGACGAAGAAGCATGTGACCTAAATTTTCTAAGGTTGCATTAAACTTCATGCACATCATAAGCACAACCAAGCATCTGAGGTGCTGAATCAGACCAGTTTAAAGAACCAGGATAGGCTACTAAACTTTGGCTATCTGCGTAGCAGTCAGACTTTTTTCTCTATTTATTGGATTGCAGTATCTTTCAAAAAACAAGTAGCGGCCAGTTTCAAAAGTCAGCTTTGGTATCAGAAGATATATGTCCATCATCATTATTACTATTTTGGGCTCATTTTTCTAATGACTTTTTAGTTATATTCTACAAGTAGGAAAAAAATATGCTAACATGCATTTGCATAGCAATCTGAATGAATTCTGTTTTTTCCATATTACCTATATGCACAGATGATTGAAAATTTTTTTTAAAGGAACCAATCATTTAAGTGAGCTGCTTTTTTCCTTTCTTTTTTTTTTTTCAAATGAAGGTGATCCACAAATATTTTAACGCAAAGGTAGGATTACATGACTAACGTTACTAGAAAGGAAAATATGTCAGCAAGCACACAACAGGATTTCAGTAAATTCACTGTCTTTCTTTGCACCCATATACTCTTAGGTTTCCAGTTCATGACCTTAACTGATACAAGAATGTAATTTAAGAAGCATTAATGAGGGCAAGGATCAGCAAGGACTAAGTAGACAGGCAGATGGAACAAGCTGGACCCTGCATGGTGTCTCAGGGAGGGAATCTCTCTCTACACGCACTATTCTTATATCTTCTCTAAATACTGAACATTGTTCTGACATACTCCTGGACAAGAAGCATCTCTGATCTGACCCAGCAGGGAAGCTGTTACGCTTCTATTTGCATATACTACAGAGTGCTACCAGTGCTAAGGAAACATCTCCATATAAGAGATATCAAAGCTCTGGTGCTTTCTTTTATCTATATTTGATGATGTTAAAAAGCTCCTTTTAAATATGTTCAACAGAGCATAAAAGAACACGATGATATTACAAAATATTGTTATGTACTAAAGCAGAAATATTTTCTGACATATTTAAGCAGCTTCTGCCATTTATCAACAGTGGCTATAGAAGAGGTAACAAGGACAGAGAATGCTCAGTGTAACTTGGATTATAATCTTCATTTGTACTTAATACAAGTGCACTAGATCCATAGGCTTACACAATGCACTAACAAAAGCTCCCCAAACTACTCGAAAAATCACCTCTAAAAGCATTCATTTTAGTTCTATTTTAAGGTTTAATTTACTGAAGCATGTATTCTAATGGAATTCAGTAATATTACCATTTCTTCACTAGTCTCATGGGCATTCTCTGAAGCAGCACTCATGGCATCTGGAGATGATCCATCACAATTTTCAATCACTGTGCCTCCTTCATGGGCATTTTCTGATGGACTTTGATAGTTTGTGGCTGTAATACCTTCCATACATACATCAGAAAAAACGCAAAGTTAGCATAGCATAACCTGAATCACTCCTGTATTAAGAATAAAGTCAGTGTCTGTTACTGTATGCATACATTAACTCATTTTTTAAGATGAGTTGAACAGCTTATTAAACTAGTATTTATGACTGAACTGCCAAATCCATTCCTCTTACAGAGAGTTCAAAGTTCTAGATGCTATGCAAGTAAGGCAGGATATAGTGACAAAAACACAATGGCACTCTACATGCATTGTTCAAAAAATGGTGAAGGCCTTTTCCAGTCTTCCAAATCAAATATAGAACTGATCCAGCAGAAAAAAAAGATTAAAGATTCCAAGCCATGTATCTAAAACATTGCACAGTGCCTTTAGAGCAAATGTTTGCAGTTTTGAGAAATGTTTTATGTTTTGAGAAATAAGCTATATATATTTTCATTAGAGTGATCATGGCAGTGTTTCCTTGACAACTAGAAAGCATGCAGTTAAATATTTTTTAACAAGATAAAAAGACATACAAAGGTTATTTAAAATGAAAAATGTATTTTATGGCATATTCCCACATAAGCACATGCAGGAATACTCCTACAATCCAAATATATAACAGGTTTGCAAATGAAGCATTCTTCTCATTATTGCTCTAGATTGAAAAGAAATCCTACAGAAAAAAATATTGTCATTTTTTCTTCAAAGCAGAATTCATGAGAAAAGAGGTACCAATAGAGACTTCTTACTGTATTTCCTGACACTAGAAAATTATTTAACCAGTTTTGCCAGAGAGCTACTGTATCATTACAATCGCATAAGTTCACAATACTACAGACTATATAGGCATACTTACCATATGCCTGAATTCCTCCCTCAGATCAGGAGCAAACGCTCATGCATAGATGAGCAAAAATTGAACAAATAGCTGCCATTAGACAGTCAATAGCTAGGAACTGCTCTGTAAGTAACAAGCTGCAAGGAGACTACCAAATCTATCTCCCTCGTAATTGGCATGGTGAGTATTAGTGAAAATCCATTTCTTTTTCATTTACTTTTAAAATTAAAGCTTCTTTACCACTTCAAGCATAATGCTGCTACACGGTACAAACCTGTAGACACTTACAGCCAAAGCAATCGCTTTTAAGCAAAGCCGGGAACAGTTCTTCTTAATTCAGAGTTGCAACATAGCACTGCAATGCTTTTACTCAGCTCAAGAGAAGAAAATTAAGTAGTGTTTAATTAAGTAGCACTACTTAAGCAGCACACCTTATTGCTTTTCCTTGAAATGAAGTGCTGTGAATATACTTGATATTACTGACTTGAAAAGCTAACAGAAATAGTGCTGTAAAGTATCCAGGATTTGCTGCACTACAATCCTTTTGAGTATTATTCTAATAACAAACAATATTTTTGTGTATTGCTTGAAAACATCTTATTAAACCTACCCACCTTTCTCCAGAAAGCTTTGGCTGTCACTTCCGTCACTCTCTATCAAATGATCTTCTAGCATCATACTATCGATAGAGATGGTATCCAGAGAGACTTGTGATGGACTTCTCTTCATATTCTTGTAAGAAACAGAGAATGCAGGGAGGTTGGACGGGCAGCGTTCCTTAGGCTTTGCGCTTTTTAAATATAAAGATATTAGGAAATTATTATTTCAAATTAAAGGAATTACATCAGTTACTTAAAAAAAAATTCCTCTAAACCAGGCAAGATATAAAAGAAAAAAATCTGATTATTCAAATCCTTGGCAAGAAAAGGAGATAAGCATAGAAACAACATGCATTCCTGTAGATATTTGCGTCAATATTTTTCTCAATACCTATTTCACAACATTTAAACTGAAAGTAAATAGTTTAAATCAATTAACTAACAGTTCATTTTAGCTTTCACTGAATGCTGGACACTGCATATCTTATATCTTTACATACTTTTGAAATTTTCATCTACTAGATGCTCATTTTCGTTGACCATTACTAAAAGTATATTGCCAACAAGATTGATAAATATTTTTCAATAGTAAGCAGACTCATTTAGTATTAAATCTTCTATACCTTGATGAAGACTGGGGTGCAAACATTCTAACTGAAGTCACTTTGTCTTTGTTGATTTCAAGCTCTTCAGATTCTAAGGCAGCTTCTGTTTCCAAGTCAGTCACTTGGTTAGGACAGCCTTCAGTTGTGCCTTCCTGTTCATTTAACTTATTTGAGAATATGTTTTTGTCATCCTCTTTTTCAATGAAAAATTCAGTAGAATCCTCCCTCTTATTTAAAATGGGCTCTGAATCCCTAGGATGCAAGCTACTTTTCTCACTCAGAGGTCCACAGACTTCCTCTGAATCACTTCTACTAAAAAGTCCACTGCTTCCTCCTTCACTCGTATCTCCCAAACCTTTATCTGACGCATCATCTGAAAATGATGTTCCTTTCTGAAAATCCGTATTACTATCTGACTTAAACAAAAGAGGATCTATTAAAATTCCTTTATTAACTTCAGTATTCAAAGACTTGCAGTCATTTACATAATCAAAATTAGTAATACCAGCTTGCACTATCTTATTGCCAACTAATTTACTCTCTGAAGTAAGAGCTTCCCCATTTCCCAAAGGGGAGAGTTCTGACGCCATGGGACTTCCTTCTTCCACAACTGGAGACTTACAAGGGTTTCCCTGAGTCACTGGATGGAGCAGTAAGGCCAGTTCTGCACTTTTCAGTAGGATCCCAATGCAGACATCCGTTTGCTTCGCAGGTTTTCCCGTCACTGCTTCTACATCATTCCTTAAGTTTTCCAGGAGTAATACAAGAGATTCATGGAGAAACAACAAAAAAAGATACTGGTAATGATTGATCTGCACACTTACATGTTTTTGAACATGGACAAGAACATGTACATCTGCATCAGAGGAAGAGCTTTCAGAAAGCACTCCCAAAGCATCTGACATTTGAATGCCATTAGTCAAGGGCTCCATCTCACTGCTGTAATATTCCTTTAGAAGTTTTTTACGTTGTAGTCTATTAGCAAGATCACTAGATTCACTTTTTGGAATGTTCAAAGCTGTCTGATTATGTGATAAAAGCTCTTTTTGTGACTTTGCAAATCTTACTGGCTGGCAAATCCAAAGTGAAAGTGGGAATGAGTCCACAAAGCTTATTGGTCGGCCTTTCCCACTTTTCGTTCCTTCATAGTCTATCCAAAACTGGGAAAAATGCAAGGCCCAAACATCAGTAGCTGCAGATGTCTTTAATGCATATTTATTCAATTTTGGGATGATATAACCTTTATAAATGTCATGCATTTTAGTATCTTGTTCATGGGCATGTCTCTGGAAGATTGGATGCAAAAGATTAAAATTCTTCTGGGATTTTGGAAAAGTGGTGAAAGTTCTACTGAAAAAGTCACAGTCTTTGAAGTTCTGAAACAAAGCTTCCAGATCAGAGTGTCTGCAGTTTGGTGAGTATCTTGTATTCGTAGCAATCATCTCTGAACTTTGAATGGAAAGTGCACAAGGTTGATCTTTATGAATTTCAGATTTGTTTTCAGATGGGATGACGAACTGCAAGAAAGAAATATATTTGTCTAGTTAGAAATATGTAGATTAAGAAGGTATACAATTAAATAAACAAAATAATAGCCATGACAGCTAAAAGGAATATAAATATATTTATAAGTAGAACACAGAACAGGGATAAGTCAGGCTCACAGATTATCATTTGTGTTTCCTCTCATTTTTAAGAAGGATGCTGTGGCATCTAAAACTCATTGTTTGTACAAAACATAAGGGTCTCAGGCTTTTCTTATCTGAAGGATTTAGATTTAGGTCAGCTAGATTAAGCTGAAGCGTTTCATTTCTTCAACTCAGAAACACCTCGGCAGAAAGTTTCTTCAAGTGTTCCAAGTATTTACCATTTGAACTCCAAACTGTAAATCTCTGTTTTTCAATCTGATTTGTCAAATAGGGTTTTTCACTACATTGAGTACTACAGTATTTTATTTCTACGTTAATGTGATAAATAATATCGTAGTTTTGCTTAAGTCATAAATAGACAGGCAGTTGGAAAGAATGTAAGTTTGCAGGTACCCAAGTATGGGGACGGAGACAGGGCATTATGTATTCAGATATAGGGTTAAGATAAGTATGGGGACAGAGACACCACTTATCTTAGCCATGATTAGCCTTTTCCTGGATGACACATTCCCGCCCTTATCTGGAAGAGAGGATTAACTGCCCACTTGGGTTTGCAATGTTGCTGAAACAATAGAGCACAAGCACCGGAATAAGAAGTTTAACTGAGAGGAAGACTTTGAGCCTTCACACCATGACCCCCAAAGAAGACCCCTAGACAACAGTGCGCAGATGCAAGTGGGAGGGAATAGACGTAAAAAACTTCGGGGAAATCATTTAAATGTGTATAAGACTTCTGGGAAATGACATGAATATGAATGACTGTCCTAAATAAATTTGTGGAAGTTAGACTAACCAGGGTGCACGCAGGGGGATCACGGGGGCGATGTCCTGTGCACCCAGCGCTGAAATAAACCTTTGCTTCACAGACTTTGTCCACTCTTAAAAACTACATAGGTGAATGTTTCTCACAGTTAAATACAAGGAAACAATTAAATGTGCTAATACAGCTAATATTCTTAACATTGTCAGACAATGGTCACAAAATACCTATTCTGTATTCTGCAATCATAATAATTTCTTCATCATAAAAATAAAAATATATTCCAATTCCTAAAAACCAGCAAAATAGTTCAGTATACTGGATTTAATTTAACTTGCATCTCTTTAGTACAAGTTTTAAAGGAAATATGTATTTTATGCCAAATCCTGCATCTGATGATTGGACACACTAGTTCTGCTAGTATCAGTGACACTACTTTCTGTCACAATATCTCAATGCTGAATCTGGAAAGATCAGATTAAAAAAATTATCCTAAAGACACTTAAAAGGTGGGAGTGATGAAGCTTCTTCATGTAAATAAAAGGACTCAGAACAAAATAACCAAATATGTAACTATATAATAATTAACTATATGATATGTAAACATCAAGAAGACCAATAATAAAAGGTTCATAATTTGCTAGAATAAAAATAATGCAGTTAATATAGGGATGAAATCATTAATATGAATCAAGGTTTGAGGGATTTAAGAATACTTCTACTTTTATCATCTCTTAGTTTAGTGGGCTATTCACATATAGTTATTCAATATCAGATCAGTCCTATTTGTAGTTGCCTGGTTGTTGGCTCTCAATAATTGCTTTCATTCAGTACAAACCATGTTCTTCTAAAGTTCCATTAAATAGGCACCAAGTGCCTTAGGAAGATAACCATCTCTCTATATGCTGACTTTTTAGAAGCCTTGAAAGCTCCCCTGTGGGCACCATCGAAAAGACTCATTGTTTTGTTCACCTCTGAACCTTGGAAACCAATGCCCAATGTAAATCGAGGGGTGGGGGTGGTGGAAAATTGTCTGCTTGATAATCGTTCTCCTCCAAAGAAGGAAAAAAAGGAAGCAAAAATCTGATGTTTGGCTACATTAACAACCGCCACTCCTCTGGAATAAACATACAGAGAACTTGTGTACCTGAACTACAGCCAAGGGCCAGCGTGAAACAGAAAATGGTGAGAATGAGTCTTGGAGAAGGAAATAAACCTTCAGATGAACTCCTTTCTTTACTCCAGACATTCACTAACAAGATGAAAGAGTTTTGATGTACTACAACCAGAGGAACAAGGGAGGGCCCTTGCATTAATACAGAGTGCAAATATGAATTTTTTGCTTGTTATTTTTACTACAATGCTCAATTTTTTTCCTTCTGCTATGTTAGCTTCACTGAACACAGTGAAATAATTTATAAATACTCCCATTCAGGTCTTCAATACAAAACAGAAATACCCCTAGGATGTAGATGAATTAGTATGGAAGACAGCCGTCTGTCTTCAAACCATCATATTTCTGCATAGTTTTCCAGAGCAGCATTGCTTATTGCGTGGGTTGTTTGTTCATTTATTTGTCCATTTATTCCTTAAGCTGCTTTGCTAACAGCTTTACAGAGTAAGAGAAAAATTATTTTCTTCCAAGGAACCACAAAACCCCTCCTCAATGACAGCATACCTTTAACATTAGTCCATCAACTCTAACATCCACGTGTTCATCTGATTTTGAATTGTCATTTAACTTGTACATGGCCATGAACTGAATAAGACTCTGTTTCAGATCCAACACAAACTGATTTAGCCAAAGAATACTTCTCTCATCCAGGGTGAACTGTAAAGCATTCAGCTGGCCATACAAATTTGGACATGGAACTAAAAGAGAAAAGAAAACAAAATCATGAGAATAAGTAAAATATTTGGGGGTTTGGGTTTTTGGGCATTTTTTTTTTTTTTTTTTCAGTTGTGTTGTCTGAGGCCTCAGACAAGAATCCACCTAAGGACATAGTATTTGCAACTGTGACCAACACCTCCTGAGGAGCACAAAGAAACCAACAGACACCAACTGAGACCAAAATAAGGAACCTGCGACACACTGATGAGCCAAGACAAAGACCATATACGGCAGAAAGACCCAGAGTTCATGGAAAGGGCACTAAGAGACACCTCTTCGGATAACCACTAGGGACTACCAGCAACCACTGAAGACCCCCATGAAAGCCCCTCCCAGACCTAGGCCGCATGCATAATGACTATGCAAATATGATAAACAGCTCCAGCAAATGGAATGATATGTACGATCATCCCGGGAAATTTAATGGCTATGTATGTAACAGGGAGATAAAAGCTTTGACTGATGCGACATACGGTATGCACATTAGGGGGAGCAATCCCCCTTGCACCCAATGGTACAATAAAGAGAATGTCTGCTTCTTAATACTATATTGGTGTTAAGAGGTTCATTCCCGATTTTAGTGACAGTTTGGGGCTTTTTGGTTTGGTTGGTTTTTGGGTTTTTTTTTTGGTTGGTTGTTTTTTTTGTTTTTAAAACAAGTGCAGACTTACATTTTCACCAGCATTTTGTATCAGCGAAAAAATGGAAATCCACTCCTTTGGTCCCAAGGAAGAATACATTGTAAGGGGATACCTAAAGTGATGCTTCTTTCTCTCACCCCAAGCAAGTAACTGAATAGCTAATGTAAAAGCTAATATCAGAATATAATGAAGTCTGAGGAAAGGGGGAGATTGTCCTCATTACAGAGGAAGGGCAGGACCAAGGAGATTTGCTGTCCTCAAGTCTCATCCCCAAGAAATCCACTGACATTTCTGTATATAAAAAAGGGCCAGACCCATAACACATTAATAAAAATAACTACCGCAGATCTTCATTGCATCTTCGATGCTACTGCAATAGCTTGAGTTCTTTTATGTGGCCAGACAGTGGAACTGTACAAACAATGTATGTATGTTAGAGAATGAATAATTCACGTGCCAGTAAAAATGCTGTGAGTGTTTTCAGACTTAAAAACCGTATTTATAAAAACCAGTATTTATAGGAGTTTGCCAGCAGCAAGCTCTGTGGAAATAGAGCAGTGTTGTGTTCTTTCCATTTTAGAAAGACATTACCGATTTCCAATTGTCAACCCAGCATTAGTATTAAGCTTCCTAAAGGTGAAAATAACACAAAATTTATGGTTCGGTACCAAAAAAAAAGTCTTACTAGGAAAGTCCTTTCCATCTGGGTAGTAATATTCAGTGAATTCAATATGAATAGCTGGCATTTCTGGTGGAAGATAAAGCGACTTTTTATTGCAAGAGATCAGAGCTTTAGGGGAAGAACGACACTGGTCTGCTGTTGAAACCTATGAAAGATAAAAGATTAATTTCATTAATACATTACATTTTTATGAATCCTTAAGCATTTGTAGTTGCAAGGCATTGCCCCTAGTAGCATAACATTCCACTGCTCTCAGATGTAGATCCCCAACTACACAAAGTGCTGACAAAGAGAAACACCTAGTTGCCTTGTAGCAGAAGCAATCTGCATAGAACAGTTTCATAAGAAAACTGTATCATATTAACAGTACCAGATCCCCTTCCTTCATGCAAGGCAGGAGGCAGCAGGTCACTTTCAAAGGCGTTCAGTAGAAGCCTAGAATGATCTGATATCTTTAATGCAAACACTATAGCTCTTGTGTAAGCAATTATGCTAGGACGTGGTATATTTGCATACCGTCTATCCAAAAGGATCCCATATCTAGATGATAAGGGATAGATAAGCTAGGTAAGTTTATTACACAAGTGTTAGGAAGCCCTTGTACCGTCATAAGGACAGATTCCAGTACATGGGCCAACTCTTGACTGTATACTGCTAAGTAAGGTATTCAGCATGCACCTGGCAGAGATATGTATGCTTGGCCATGCTCGAAGGTCTACTTCACAGGAGAATCAAGACGCTATAGAACACTAATCCTCGATTTCTGTTTCCTTCCAATGTAAACCATGAAACAAGAAAGAGATCACCCTTAGATCTATATTTGACCTTAAATTTCTTGGAATGTACGCTAGTATAAAAAGCACGTTGTCAAAACAAAACTCTTTCATCCAACACTTAGTAGGTCAGACTGCTAGTTTAAAATTAGTCAACATATTAATATTGAATATATGATGATGTCTACTTCTATTAGTTTAACTGGAAATAATGAATATATAGCCTTTATAAGTCTGCTTCACTCTATGTAGCTATTTTCAAGTTGCATTTTCATCTCTGTATTAACACATACAAAAATTCAAGTAATAACAGATCTATTTAGAAAAACAGCTTTTTGTAAATTGTACAGAAATAATGACAATTTAAAAAATTGAAAATGTATTTGTGTAGGGACGAGGAGGAGACAAGTATCTGAAGAGTAGAAGGCAAATGAAAACTTCGAGAGTGCAAAATGATATTATAAAACCACTTCAAACCCAGATGAAGTTTCCTAGCAGCAAGCTGCAACCTCCCACTCTACCAGAAGTGATATGGCAAAAACATAAAAATTGGAACACTACAGAGGGATCTGGACAGGCTGGATCGATGGGCCGAGACCAATCGTATGAGATTCAACAAGACCAAATGCTGGCTCCTGCACTTCGGTCACAATAACCCC